AAATTCTCAGATGAGTTTGACCACACGTCTTTTCATTCTGGACAGGGTTTGACAGGCACATAGACCAGGATAGCTCCACTAGTCAATAGGTTGGATTCCACACGTGGTGAAAATAGGCCTTCACCTCTTCTGAAGTCAACAGAGGAAGACCATATAATCTCAGCTGGTGATGAAGGACCATTACTAGATGGTATGTAGAAGAGACAAGAGTTTTCATGTAAAGGATTCCTAAATAACTGAGTATGGTAGAAACTATTGAGTTGCTGTCTTCCTCTTTGGAAACATTCCTGGACATTTACTCCCTCCCTTCTTGCCCCCACAGATGGCCTCTTCTGAGAGAGACACCCATGAGAACCGGACTGTCATCCAAGAGTTCATTCTGGTTGGCTTTTCATATCTTGCTGAGATGCAGAGCCTTGTTTTCCTCCTGTTTCTAGCGACTTACATTGTGACCTTACTGGGAAACTTCCTAATCATCCTCTTGATAAAGCTCAGTCCCAGCCTTCACACCCCCATGTATTTTTTCCTGGTAAACTTGTCCTTCTTGGACATTTGTTTCACAACCAGTGTGGTTCCCCAAATGCTGGTTCACCTCTTGGTGAAGCATAAAAGCATCTCCATTGCAGGCTGTGCAGCTCAGTTGTATGCCTATGCCATCGTAGGCGTTACTGAATGCTGCCTCCTAGCATCCATGGCTTATGACCGCTATGTTGCCATATGCCACCCCTTACACTATACTACCATTATGAGTGGTCGGAAATGTGTGAGCCTAGCAGCTGCCTCATGGATCACCAGCATCTCAGTGCAGCTGATTCAGATCACATGGATCTTCACCATGCCTTTTTGTGGGTCCAACCTCATTGACCACTTCTTTTGTGATTTTGCACCACTGGCAAAATTGGCATGCGCAGACACTTCCAAGAATGAGATTCTTATTATGGTTGTGACAGTGCTGTTCATTATGGGCCCTTTCTTGCTAATAATCCTGTCTTACATCAACATTATGTGCACCATTTTCAAACTGCCTTCAGCTGAGGGGAGAAGAAAGGCCTTCTCCACCTGTTCTTCACACCTTATGGTGGTAATGTTGTTCTATGGAACAATCCTTTTAACCTACCTGCGACCCAAGTCC